CCACAAAGCCCCACTCTGCAGACTTCCCACACCAGATCACCCAAGCCTGGTCTTCCCCTCATTCTAACCAGACAGTCCACCCCCACCCCTCTTCTCATCTTCTGACGTGAAACCTCAGCCAGCCACCTTCAGACTCTTGAATCCCTTTTCAGACCCCCGCCCTTGGAAAACCCATTCTAGACCAACCAGGACCCTCAAAATGTAGATATCCTGCTCATTTCCCCAGGCTCTGCAGAATGTCCTAACCCTCCTCCAACTTCACCAAGGACACCCCAGTCACTTTGTCTTGACCCCTAAGTCTCTAATCACAGGCAATCCACCTTCCAGACTCTACCCCTTATTCTCCAAGACCCAGCCTAAAGCCACTTTCTTAGATTTTGATTCCCCACAATTTTTCTCCCTCCCTAAATTCCCTGCTGCCCTATCCCCTCACTCCTCAATAAATGTGCTAGAGCTGTGCCATCTGCTTTATGTCTGGGCCTGGAAGGATAGGCTGGAGCAATCAAGAGGCCAGTGTAAAGAGGGGAAATGTTTATTGAGGTCAGGGGAACATCACTGTCGCTCATACATCTCCCGTAGGATCTTCATGCTTTCTGAGTAACGAAGCTGGTTCCGATGAGATGCCTCCTTCCACCTGCAGTGGGAGAGGGAAAGCAGAGGGAGGGCTCAGCAGTTGCGGCAGAAGCCATAGAGGAGCAAGCAGGTTGGGGATGCTTACCTCTGGCGGATGCGTTTCCAGCGCTGCATGTTGCGGTAGATGAGTGTGGAAGGTGAGGGTGAGGGCTCAGAGGGCTGTGTGGACAGAGAAGCCAGGCTCGGTGGCCATGCCCAAGCCCCACAACATATGTCCCATAGCCCCAGGCAAACTTTGCAGACCCACCTCATCCTCAGGGGTACCCTGTGTCTCAGGCTGCAGTGGGGATGGAATTCGGGATCTGCAGGCATCTCCAGGTGGCCCAGGGGCTGTGGGAGGAGGCAACTTGTACACATCACGACTCTTGCTGGTGGTGACCTCTGAACCCTGGAGACACAGGAGCCCCATAACAGGTCCAAGAGTCAGAGATGAGGGCCAGGGGTACACATTTTACCCCTCCTTCCTTTTCCAGTGACAACAAACATGAGGGTCTCCTCTGGGACCTGTACTTGGGAGTCATGTCTGAAGAATGGGGACCTTACCCGACCAGTCGAGAGATTTCCATCTATGCCTGCATACCCTAGGGCAGTGGTCGGCAAACTCATTAGTCGACAGAGCCAAATATCAACAGTACTTCTTCAAAATAGACTCGCCCAGGCCGAAAACCGATTTCTGCGCATGGGCCATGAAGTTTCAATCGCACTGTATGCGCGCCCGCACGTGGTATTTTGCGGAAGAGCCACACTCAAGGGGCCAAAGAGCCGCATGTGGCTAGCGAGCCGCAGTTTGCCGACCACGGCCCTAGGGCATCCCCATCTGCTCCTTTAGATCAGGTGGCTATACCTGTTTACACTAAGGACCCCTTTCCACCCCCCAGCTCTTGGGGATCCCAATCTTAGAGGTCACACATATCTGCCCAGGTGAACCCTGTCCCCTCTTTCTCCCAGTACAGGTAGCCGTGTGTGTCTGCTCTGGAGAGCTCCATCCATACTCCTAGTATAAGGGTTCATATCTGTGTGCCTCAATGGATCCAGGAGACATTTAAGGGACACAGAAAACTGCCTGTCTATCCCAAATAGCTTGTGAGGAGGGTACCTTGTGACCATCTACCCACTCTCTCCCTGGCTGTTGGGCAGGGGCCTACCACCCATCCTACCTCCTCATCCTCGGGCAGTGGGGGCAATGGTGAGCTGGGTGAGCGTTCGTGCTCACGCACTGTGGGGCTGTTGCGCATCCAGGCCCGGCAGATTGGGTACAGCGGTGTGTTCTCGCTGAACTGAGCTAAGTCCACACTCCGGTCAAACAGCTTAATCACATACGTGTCTAGGAAAGTGGGAGCGGGAGGTATGTGAACATGCTTATATAGTCCCCTATCACTGACCGCCCTCTAGGGCTACCACCTACTCACTAGATCGTTGTGGCCCTCCTTCGGCCAGCCCATCATCCATCTCCCTTCTCTTCTTCCTCCGCTGGTGGGGGAAGCGGGCAGATGGCCTGCGTGAGTTGAGAGAACATCAGGACCAGCGCTGGGGACTTCTTTTCACTTGGCTGAAACCCCTGCCACCTTACCGTTTGCCAGTGGCCACAATGGAGCAATCCCTGTGGGAAGAGACAGGGCATGAGCAAGCTCACCCTTGAACAAATGCCTGCTCAAAATCTCCCAAAAGACACCCTATGGATCCTGAGATCAAGCCTGAGATGCCCACATGTACCCCACTAACTCTGTAGGCGTTGTGTCCCACCCAAGCCCCTGGGGCTCTAGTTGCCAAGTATGACGGGACCTAAGCTTCTGCTGCCCCAGGGTCTTTGTGCACATAGAGTGGTTCAACTATGGTGGAGGAAGCAGGGGACAGAGTGGTCAGGGCTTGGGTGAGGGAAGTAATTCACCACAAACCCTCCGATACAGATCCCACCAGTAAAACTTACTTGCTGTGGGTGTCTGAGGGGGTCTTCCTGGCTTCCTCATCCAGACGCTCCCTGGTAGCAGAAGATAACTGTGGACTCAGGGTTCCAAGGGCCCAGAGTGGTAAGGCAATGAGTGGCCTCTCCATTGGGCCCCTTCCTCCCTAAGCCAGGTTCTGGGGTCCCACCTAGACCCACCCAGGACTAGAGGGCCCAACCCCCTCTGACCTCAGGCTGGCCCAGGTCCCAACCTGTCCATGTGACTCTTCTCCAGCAGACACTGTAGAACGGCATCCAGTTGGTTCCGGGCCTTGGCCATCTCCAACTCTGGGGAAGAGGGTACCAAGCAAGAGTCAGTTCCCAGGCCCAAGGCAGGTGGGAAGCCAACTGGGCTGGGGAAGGGCATGCATAGTCAAACCTATGGCAAGGCTCAGGTGTGCTGAGAGGGTGTGAGGGCAGACTACTGAAATGATGAGTAAGAGCTCTGGGTTCCTGGGCTGTCCCACCTAAGACAAGTCATCTTACCTCACTGAGCCTGTTTCCTCTTGAAAATAGGTCTCCAAATGATACCTATTTGTTAGGACTGTTCTGAGACTTAAATTGACCTATGTTGTATATAAATCTCTAGCAGAATGCAATAATAAGTAACATGTACAGAGTGCTTATTATGTGCCAAGCATTGTTCCAAGCATATCACACATATTAACCCGTTGAATTCTCACAATAACCCTGGTAGGTACATATGATTTTTACCCATTTTACAGATCATGAAACTGAGGCACATAGATGTTAGGTAGTTGCCCAAAGTCACCCAGCTAGGGAATAAGGATTTGCATGCAGGCCATCTGGCTCCACAGCTGAAATTATATGGCAGGGACTCGAACAGGGTGCGGTATCTAGTGCCCAGGTAAGCTTTGTTTGGATAAGGCAGTGGAGTTATATTAAATCTGAATGAACTCACATTTAATTGGGAGATTTCACCCAAGAGACCCATTTTTGCACCCCCCCCCCTCCTCCAACACACACACACAGGAAATGAGATCTGGGCCCACCTTCCTGCATATCACAGGCCCTGCCTGGCCCTGCAGCCTGTGTCTTTGCCTCTGTTCATCATAGAACTTAAGGAGGTAATGATATTATAAATATTCTCTTCTCACCCTGTGAGGTGTTTGCTCTCCTCTTCCAGCTAGTAGGTGCTTTGGCACAGTGCTCAGAGCCTGGAAGGACACTTGGGGATATGCTTTGGCCAGCCCTGGGACTTCCTGAGGAGACCAGAAGATGCACGGATTCCTGACATCACTCAGAGACAGGGTAGGGGTGTGGATTGGGGCAGCTGAGATTCTAGCAAAAAGCCTTATTCAGGAGACAAAGTATGGATCATGCCCACATCTCTTTCCCTAGCCCCCACTTCTCTCCTGAACCTCAGATCTTGGGATCCCATGGACTCCTGGACACCTCCCCCTGGTTCTTCTACCTATTGGCTCCCACATTATCATTGGCCTCAGTGTTTCTCTAAACTTACCCTCTTTCCTGGGCCCCCATCTCAAGGATAGCTCTGCTGTCCCCCAACCCCTCCCTGGGCCTCAACATGGACACCTCTCTCTCTCCTCCATTCCAAACCACCAACTCTTGTCCACTTGGCCTCCTTTTCTACCACCTATCCCAACCCTACCCTGCCCACCCTGGTCCTTTTCGTTCCTTCCCTTGGGTTCCCAACCTCAGTCTCCCCTTCTGATCCACCCTCCACAAGGTGGCCAGGGAGATCTTCCTAAAATCAATCCTGACCCCGATACTCCCCCTTAGAACCCTGCACAACTCTGCAGTGCCCACATCATCATTGTGGTCAGGCCCCCTACACTTTTCCATCCACAATTTTTTTTGGCATTGGAAGGCATCTTTATTAACTCACTCCTCAATTCAAAACCCTCCCTTGGTTCTCCGTTTCCCTCACAGCAAAACCTAAGTCCTAACCTGGGTCCACAAGATTGGTTCCTCTCTCCTCCCCGCTTTGCCTCCATCTCCTCACACTCTCTACCTCAGCCTGTTCCAACCACACTGGCCTCCCGGCTGGTCCTTGAACAGGCCAGACAAGGCTTTTTCAAAGCTATTTCCTTCGTCTTATTCGCTGTTGGCTCACATATCCTCATGGCTCTCTCCCTAACCTTACCTCACTCCTGATCTCACATTTGCTCTCCTGTTTCATTTTATTCCACGTATGCCATCTAACATCGTACATCATTTTACTATTATATTTTGTCTGGATTCTGTGCCTCTCCCACCGCCCTTAACCTACCAGTCCTGGGTTCCCATAAACTTGGTCCCAACCCAAAATGAATCCTTCTCTCTCAGCTTGTTTTCCCATCTACCACATTTCTGACTTCTAGGATTATTGGGATACAGTGACTTCAAGGATTAAAAACCTCCTTGTACTTCAGGCACTCAGTACAATGCTTGATTCATAACTATTGCTGGAAATGGAAAAACTGAGACACAGCCAAGTAGTCTTTCTCGCGGTCATGGGGCTGGGAATCCCCATGCCTTGCGGCACCACACTGCCTGAGCCACCGCCACTCAATCTCAAAGCAATCTCGAGCAGACTGGTAAGGTATGCAGGCGGCAGGAATCGCTCAATGCCTGACAGCGATAGGCAGAAGGGCTGCAGGGAGAAGTCTCAGTCTACCTTATCGCGATAACCCTGTCTATCGGGACTCGCATACCCAGATCAGCCCCGTGCTCCTCTACAGGCCCCCGACCTCGAAACCTCACCTGATTTCTCCACTTTCACCTTCACTGGGAACATGGTTTTGGTCTGGAGTCTGGCTAGTTGAGTCAGAGGAGCCCAAAAGGGCCTAGCGTCACAAGTCAATGGCAGAGGCAGACGGAGACCGTCAAAGATAAGCTTCGTACGCGGGAGCTCTTCTGCCCTGAGCAGCGTCGATCTACGACTGCCGCCGCCGCCAGCACCTCTTGCTCCCCTTTGGTGGGGCCCCATCGGCAGTCGCTTGTCCCCATTAGTCAGTATAACCGTCGATCTCGTACCTTGACCAATTGACAGCTCTCAGCCCTAAGTCCCACCTTGCTAGGGACCCATTTCCGGAAACAAACCAACGACATCCCGGCACGCTTTCTGGGAGGTGTAGTTCTGGCTCCCGAGACTCAGCCGTAGTAACAGCGCCTGCGCCGCGCGAGGCACGGTGGGAGATAAAGGACCAGGGCATCGCGAGGCTTTTTGGAACTTAAAGTGTTAGTAGCTTTTAATAAAAGCCATTTAGGTATTAACAGTAATTATTTAACCGTGTCCTTCTTGCCCCTAATTGGGAGACAAGTCTGGAGTTAGGCTTTTTCACTCTGAGTACTCATTAGTGCCAGCTACCTATTAATCTCTTTTCAGGCACAACTTTATTCACTTAGCAAATATTATTACTGTGCGAGTCACTCTTCTAGGCACTGGGGACAAGCAGAGTACAAAACAAACAAAAATATCTTTCCCAATAGAGCTTATATTTTGAGGATGGGGGCACACAATAAACAAGTAAAACACTGAAATTTTAAATAGGTTTGTTAAGGAAGCTTTCTCTAATAAACCAGACATCTCCTTCAGAAAATGGAGAACTTCATTTTACTACATATGCCTTGACCCAGATTAATTCCAAGAGGTAGCATTGTGGTCCACACTTTAGATGAGAATACTAAGTCCAAATGGAAAAGTAATGTTTTCAAACTCACATAATACCAGTACAGGATAGCAGCCACTAGTAATAGAATATTCCCTTCTTGGTTCTGCATCTGTAAAATAGGTTTCTGGAGCAGGATAGTTCCTATTTCAGAGGGTTATGAGTAGTATTCAGTGAAAAAGATGCACATAATGTGTGAAGCACTAACCCTGGAACAAAGTAAGCATTTAATGAATGTTTCTGAATAATAATCATTTTCTGTTTCAATGTTCAAAAGATCCCAGGAAGTCAACATAGAGAATCAGGGACATTTATTGGAGTATGTCAACAGAGAACACAGGAGATAGGAATAAGTATTAAGGGGCTTGAAAGTGGGCTGGGAGTACAGGAGCCCATCCTGGGAGAATGATCAGGTCCCAGGCCTGTGCTGAAGAATTTGTCAGGGAGTACCCAGAGGTATGGTGAAGGAGAGGTAGTCCCCAAGGGCGCCCCAACGGGGCCGGTAGATCTGGAAGATGGTGATCCAGGTGATGAGTATAATCACCCAAAAAAGGAAGCCCACAGCAGAGCGCCAGACATCTGTAAAAGGTAACAGGAGTGGGTAAGGTTGGCTTCCACCTGCTCTCTGGTCACCTCCAGACAAGTTCTCTCTTTTCTTCCACGGAGCCCTAGAAATCTGGAACTTCTTTCATCCCATCCCACCAGAGCTCCACCTCCCCACCTCCCCAATGGCCTTCTTTCAACTGTACCCTGGACTCACAGCCTTTGATTTGGCTCTGCTCTGTGTATGCAGGGACAAGGAAGGCCTCTCGGAAGAACCAGAAGATGTTGACCAACCAGAGAAAAGGCAGGAAAGCAAACCCACCTAAAGAGAAAAAAGCCAAACTAGGACATAAGACAATGAGTATCCTCCCCAACGCCCACTTAGATGACTAATTTGTAAAGTCCTTCTCCCACACCCAAGTTCAACTGAGATCTCTGCTATTAAGGACTCTGATATCAAGGCTCCTCCCTGGGATCCAGGAATCTGATTCCTCAGCCATCTCTTTGTCAGGACCGAGTAGTCCAGCCCCCAACTCCCCTCTTGGGACCAATAAGCTCTTGAGGCCCAGCCTCTCCTCCTCAGGACCCAGTTCCTTCTCTCAGAGCTCGCGCTCCCAGCCGCTTCATCCCTTAGACCCAAGCATCCGGCCCTACAGACCTTATTCCGTCCCCTCTCTTCTCCTGGGACCCTAGGAGACTGGCCCTTACCCAGGTAGTACTTGCGGCACAGGTTCAACTTCTCTTCGTTGGACACCCGCTCCAAGTTCATAGTGGCGCTAGGGCTAGGTCGTTCCGTGGGTCTGAGGGGCAAGACACTGAGATGCAAGGATCGCGAAAATCCACGCCCCTTTTACGACAAAACAAAGATAAATTCAAGGGTGGGTTTGCTGAAAGCAGGGCGCCCCCGCCCCCACCAGCAAGTTGATTGGGTTGAGACGCTCTTGATGTTTACTGGGGTGCGTGAAACGACCCCCATCTCACCAGTGGAGTTTACTTCCTCCGGATAGATGCCTTTGCCACTTTCAACTTACGGACGTTTGCGCGTGATGCCGCAAGGATCTCTGGTGTTTGTAGTCTTTTTTTTTTTTTTAGGCAGCGCTGCACGCATGCGCTCTCAGGGAATTTCTGTCGGTGATTCTATGGAGAGGGCGCAGGCTTCCAACACGCAAGCGCATTAGGGAGTTTCTGAGCGTGCTAAGCAAGACGAAGCAGCGAAGAACTACACTTCCCAATGTTCTGAAGCAACGGAAGTGACTTCGAGCCAATCAAGTTGGAGAGTTCGGGTAAAAATGGCTGAATTCTTCGATATTCGGGACTGAGGACAAGTGGAAACGGGCGCAGGCAATATCCTATCGGGGTTGCTGGGCGGCGTGGGACAGTATTTCTGGGGTATCCGGCCCTCAGCTCACCTCTGTCTTTGCACCCCTTCCAGGGTTAACTGCTCCTTTTACTTTAGGATCGGGGCCTTCCGGCATGGGGACCAATGCTCCCGGCTTCCCAAAACAAACTTTCAGGCTGGTGAGACTTGGCACGGAGCCTGGAGGGTTAAAGCCTCCGGGCTGTTCCCCTTCCGTTGTCCATCATCCCGAGGTCCCGCCTTTTCCGGATGTCTTAGGCCCACCCTACTGCCCGGCTTTTTTCTAGTTGGACCTCTGCTATTCCTCCCTCAACCTACACCCCTCGGTTGTCTCTCACTTCTAGGTCCTCCCTCTGCTGGTTTCCTTAGGGACATGCATCGCTGATGCACTCAAGATGCTTAGGCTTTGCACATAGCCCTGCTCTCTCTGCTCAGGACCCTGCCCCTCTTAATTCTATTCAGACAATAGTGCTGCTCAACCTGTACCGGAATCCACAGAACACCGCCCAAACCGCAGACGATCGCACTGGAGGGACCATTTCTTGGGGGCAGGACGGACTGCCCTCTGCAGGCCACTTCCTGATTCCACCCTACCGCCTCCAGGTTACGTGCGTGAGGTAGAGGTACAAGAACACTATGATAACGTATTTGAGGTGAGGACTGGCAGAGATGGGTTGAGTTGTGGGCCAGGAGTTCAGCTGAACACCTCCTGGTCTCCACAGGAGGTGATCATGGAACTGCAGGAGAAGTACGGGGAGATTGAAGAGATGAATGTGTGTGACAACTTGGGGAACCACCTCATGGGCAATGTCTATGTCAATGTGCCTGCTTTCCCCCCATTAGAGACCAGAGGTGGAGGCATTTCAGTGCCTAAAGGTCACCACTTAAGCCTCATAGTTTGAGGTCCATCACTAAATCCAGTCCAGCCCCAGAGCTGCTTACAAATCCCCTGAAGGTTTCTGAGTTTGACTACCAAACTTGACCTACTTCCGGCACGAAGAGGATGCTGAGCGGGCAGTAGCTGAACTCAGTAACCGCTGGTTCAGTGGGCAGGCTCTGCATGCTGATCTGTCTCCTGTCACCGACTTCCGGGAGTCATGCTGTCGGCAGTATGAGATGGGGTATGGCAGTAAGGGGGTGGGGTGGGCACCTGGAGTTCCAGACTCCTGTGTGTGTATTGGTGGGGCTGTCAATGACAGTGTCCTCTTCCACCCATCCATCCTCAACCCAGAGAATGTACTCGTGGTAGCTTTTGCAACTTCATGCACCTGTGACCCACCTCCCGGAACTTCTGGCAGCAGTTCTATTGGTTGGAACCCAGGCTCAAGTATCTCAGGACCAGCCTGCCAAGACTTCTCAAACTCTAGAGCTCCTATAATCTGAAATGAACCTGATCCTATGTCTCAATAACAATATCTCAAGCCTTTGGTATCCTAGGACTAGTACTGAGCCCATTCCAAGACCAGCACCTAAGTCCCAACCCCCAAACCATTCTGAATCCCAAACTGAAGACCAGCTTGGATCTCTAATCCTGAGATCAGCTCCTGAGCACCTATCCTAGACCACCCCCAGGAACTCTAGTTACTTCATCACCTGCTCTGCCCCATGCCTCTAACCCTTCTCCCCACTGCTGTCCCCAGGTCACCCCCAAGGTCCCATACCTGCCACTGCCCCAAAGAAAGAAACTGATGACATTCCCCAGGCCACCAGCAGGGTCACTTCTAAGATCTTGACCCTCTTCTCTGCCCCACTCTACCCCTTCTCCCCCCTGCTGTCCCCAGGTCACCCCCAAGGTCCCATACCTGCCACTGTCCCAAAGAAAGAAACTGATGACATTCCCCAGGCCACCAGCAGGGTCACTTCTAAGATCTTGACCCTCTTGCCCTCCACCCCTAACAGGTAGATATGTTCCTGGCCAGGACCCCTCCTCAAAGCTCCCTTAACTCCCCAGGGCCATCTTCCCCAGCCTCTAGTCTGCCACCCCTCCCTGAATAAAGTTCTGTATTTTGAGCTTGAGTCTAGCTGCGGGCTGGAGTTTCCTTCCACCCCCACATCCGACGAAAAGGGGAAGTAGGTTGGGCTCTAGCCACAACTGCAGTTGAAGAACTTCAAACAGGTGGAAAATTATTGGACTCAGGGCTCAACGCCCTAGAAACTCTCAAGTGGGACTGGTGGAACGCCTTCGTGCTGGAAACTTCATATCCATCTGAGGCTTTTCAAAGGGAAGACGCCTAGTTGTGGCAGATTGGAGGATTCCCAACCCAGAGGAGTTTGGGGTTAGGATCTAAGGTAAGGTCACTTGGAGTTGAGTTGGAGTCTTCAGTAAATGAGGGCTGGGTCCTCCATCCCTGATTCCCTGAAATGGGAGTGAGTAATACCTAATACTTAAGCTTACCATATACCAGGTGCTGCCCTAAGAGCTTTACTTCTAATAAGGGTTTTTTTTAAAATCACTTTTTATTTTTCAATTATAGTTGACTCTAGTAAGTTTTAGTTCTCCACAATACCCCTATGAGACAGGTGGTATTAGCCTACTATACAGATGGAACATGGCAGATATGGGATATGAATCCACAGTCTGGCTTCAGAGCCCTTGCTCTAGCAATCTTGAGGCCTTGTGGCTTCTGATAATGGGTCAGGAGCTGGACTGAGGACTGGGAGCTGGGTGTAGGTAGATTCCCGTCCTATGTCCCCCACATCCACTGTTTCCTTCTTCTCCCTGATTTCCTGGGAAATTGGCAAAGGCGCTGTGGCCGGAAGTCCTACAGTCTCGGGCCCCAGGCTGCACGCACCGCTGGGATGAGGCCCCAGCACCTCTTGTCTGCTGCGCTGTTCCTGGCCCAGGCGGTGCCACATGAAGCCTCCCAACACTGCAGCCGCCTTGAGTACTGGAACCCTGACAACCTGTGCTGTGGCAGCTGCCTACAGCGCTTTGGGCCTCCCCCGTGCCCCGGTGAGGAGCAGAGACTGGGCGTATACCTATATATACCTATGCATATGTTCGGGCTGATTGAGGGTGATAGAGATCCCGTGAAAGAACAAGGTTTGGGGGCTTGCTTCTAGGTAGGGGCAGTGGGCTTTAATCAGTAAGGCAGGTATGGGGGCTAAGCCTGTGAGAAAGGCTGGAAGCAGGATCTAGGCAGAAAGGGGTGAGCTATACAGATCAATCCCAGCATGGGCAGAGCTTGGTGTGGAAGCAGGAGGGGCATGAAGGGTAAGGAGCCTGTGGAGCCTTTTGAGACTAGCAGGGCTAGTGTGGGGAAGGGAGAATGGAGGGGTGAGCATGTCTGCTGATGGGTGGATAAAGTCCAAGGGGCAAGGCCCGCTAGGATAGGACAAAAGGGAAAGGACCTTTTAGAGGTGGGGCTTGGAAGCCACTTACAAGCCTTGTCTCCCACTAGACTATGAGTTTTCAGAAAACTGCGGGCTCAATGACTTTGGTGATCACGTAATGCACCCCTTCAAAGAGTGTCCTCGTGGGCAGTGCAATCCGGACCTTGCAGAGCTATGTAGCTTCTGTGGCAGCGGAACCAGGGCCCCTACTCCCGAGGGAAGCCGGCAGCGCTGTGGAGAGGTGCTGGTCTGGCTCAGACTGCATGGGCAAAGGTGTAGCCTGCCAGAAGTGGGGTGGGGTGTAGAGGGCATGGTTTGGGATTGGGATTGGGTGGGCAGGGTCTGGATCAGAGGTGGTGGTGTGGCTAGCCCCACTGAAGAGGATAGGGGTGGGGACATTTGTATCTGGGGGTGACCAGCTAGGGTTAAAGTAGTACGGAGGGGGTGGGCGGGCGTCTGGATCAGGCGAGGATGTGGCTTATAAGGATGAAAAATTTGGGCTGAGGGGGCAGGAGTGGGGTTTGCCTCCAGCTCTACTCCTATTCTCAGAAGCCTGCCCCTACCAAGGAGCCCTGTCCCCTGAAGCCTGAAACACCCAGCGTCCTAAGCTCACAGGAGACCAGCTCACCAGCCATTTCCAGCCCCTCTGGAACATCTGAACACACCGTCCCTTGGCAGGCCTTGCTGACTTTTGCCCTGCCCCTGGTGCTGGTTCTGCTCGTGACCTCAGCAGCCATCCTCCTGTTCGCCCTGAAAAGGCACAGTCCCTACCTCCCCTACCCTGGCTCCAACACCTCTGGAGGCTCTCTGGTGACATCGGAAGCAGGTGACTCATGGGTTTCTCTGCTCCCACTCCTGGCGGGGGGGTTAGTCCCAGACATGCTGAGGGGAATATGGACTGGAAGCCCAACCTTCCTCCCCCTCATCCCTCCCTGTTTCCCAGAGCTGCCAAATCTGGCATCACAGCCCCTGTCTCGCCTTCTGGATGAGTTGGAGGTGCTGGAGGAGCTGATTGTGCTGCTGGACCCTGAGCCTGGGCCAGGTGGGGCTTTGGCCTGTGGTACTACTCGACACCTGGCTGCAAAATATGGACTGCCTGCTTCCTGGTCCACCTTTGCCTACTCACTGCGACCCAGTCACTCGCCTCTGCGTGCCCTCATTGAGATGGTGGTGGCAAGGGAGCCCTCTGCTTCTCTGGGCCAGCTTGGCACACACCTGGCCCAGCTAGGGCGGGCAGATGCCCTGCAGGTGCTGTCTAAACTTGCCTGATCTGGGGCTTGCCCGGCCTAGTACTCAATAAAGTTTCCCTTGAAAATAAGTGCCTGCTGTGTCCTGGACTCATTAGGAGCCCTCTTGAAATAGTCTTAATCGGGCCAAGACCCAGCAGACATTCTCATCCCCCACCCAGAATAGGGCCCATTCTATCACAGAAGACCAGGTGTGGGGGAGCTGGTCTCAGTGCTTCTGGGCAATCAGGGTCCCCTCTTGAGGAAAACTCCCACTACCCAAGAGGGATCCACAGGCATCCAGCTGGGTTCTAACTTACAGTATATAAAACATTTGTTGCTCTGAAGCCTTGACAGACCCCACAATGTACTTCTAATTCTGAACAGTGGCCTCTCACCTGCCTGTTGAGGCTGATGGGCTTCCTTGGTTCAGAATAGGTGTGGGGCATGGAGAAATGGGAGCTCCTACATGCCTCCAGCACCATACAAACTGTAAGACCACCTCTCCAAACATTGACAGACTTTATTGGGGAGGTTCCCACCTGGGATCCCACCTCTTAAATAAAAAAGTGCATAGAAAAGAAGGGATTTAGAAACCTTTGTACAATATCTACATTCTGGGCCCCCAGGGCAAGAAGGGGGCAATTGCTGAGTGGGCTGGAGGGGTAGGGGCAGGGCCCTTGCCACCTGCATGCCCACATTCACCCTGGACATGAGGGTGGGGGTGAGATGCTCTGGGGGGACTAGGGAGCCCCCAGACCAGGGGCAAGATGGCAGCGGGAGGTGTGGGCAACCACAGCTTCAGTTAAGGAACCGACGGCAGCGCTTGGCGCCACAGTTGCAGGGCAGCTTGTTGCTGGCATCCTCAATGGGGAACTTGTAGTCATAGGTGAGCTCCTCACCACGCAGGATGCGGCGCAGGGCAAAGATGACGATGTGCTTCTGGCCCTCCACGTGGATGACTCGAGAGAAGCAGTTGGGCTCACAGGAGTGGTTGATGAAGCGGGCGGCATTGCCATGCATTGTGGCATCCACCACATCAAAGTCATCCATGCGGAACATGTAGCACCCAATACCCTACAGGGACAAGGGAGGGGCAGTTAGATGCTCTGTTCCCAGAGTAGCCCTGCTTCTCCCACCTCATTCCCATGACCTGGCAGAGCCCACCTTCCCATCGTAGAACTTCTCCCGCTTGTCAGTCAGCACAGAGCGAATGACAATACCAGAGTACTCAATGACCATCTCGCCAGCATCGATGTTGCGCTTACAGAACAGGCCCCGCCCATGAATGGCAGACCTGCAGGGTAGGATGGGCAAGGGGAGCTCAGGGGGCAGGGGAATAAAACCAGGGCAGCCCCACACCAGGGCACCTGTCATCCTCCCAAGGGGCATCCTCCCCTCAACCCCACTAACCTGTAGACACCTACAGCCTCTTTGGATGTCTTTTTGAGGTGGCGAAAGCGCATGGCCATGGGCAGCTCCAGGCTGGTGGCACGTCTGGTGGGGGACAATAGTATCACAAAGGCTAGTACCCAGAAATGATCTCTTTAATTTATTTTTTAAATATATTTTATTGATTTTTTACAGAGAGGAAGGGAGAGGGATAGAGAGTTAGAAACATCGATGAGAGAGAAACATCGATCAGCTGCCTCCTGCACACTCCCTCATGCACACTGGGGATGTGCCCGAACCAAGGTACATGCCGTTGACCAGAATCGAACCTGGGACCCTTCAGTCCGCAGGCCGATGCTCTATCCACTGAGCCAAACCGGTTAGGGCGAAATGATCTCTTTTGCCCCTGGTCACCCTCTGTCAGACCCTTCCAAACTACCCCAGCTCCCTGGCCTGTCCTCCATACCT